TTCTCAGATCGGTGAAGCCAGGCTTAGAAACCTGCGTGCTCCCCAGCGACAAATGTGTAGGGCAAGCCACCATCCAGATTGCTGATGTAAAAAAGGTTCATCCCACTGCAGTCAGACTGCAACTTGCAGTACCATAAAGCTGAGGGAGAGAGATCCAAGCCAACCTCCAGGATGGTCATTAAAGTTTTTTGAATGGAAAAAATCTTTAAAATAATTGTAGATTCACATGTGCTGGGAGAAACAATACTAAGATTCTTAGATACTTTGCGGAGTTTCCCCAATGGTAACATTGTACAACACTGTAGCATACTGTCATAGCCAGGATATTGACATCTCGTTCAATTATTTATTAACTGACCTTATTCCAATTCCGCTAGTTTTCTTGTTCTCATGTGCAAATGTACATGTGTGTACGTCCTTGCATGTATGTTTAAAGTTTGAAAATCTTCACTCCCCAGATATGAGTGGCCTTCATACTCAAAGAAACAGATGGATGGGGACGTACTTTCATAGGCTTCCCCTGTTAGAGTGGGGTGGGTTAGCAGGAGTGGGGGGACAGGCTGAATCATTCATTGAAGAGCATGTATTTATTGGCTGTCTGCTATTCTCAGCTAAGTGTTAAGAGTCTGTCCTACCTTTAAGGATGCCACACACTGACTAGGATTTGTAGAGAAAATGGTGCTACTTACTTTCCAAACACCACATTTTATCCCCCACATGTTCCACCCCCTCCCTGCTTCCCTGGACAGTTGCATCCTTCTCTACCTGCCCAGAGGTCTCCCTTATTCAAAATCCCTGTCCCTGAAAAATCCAAAGTAAGCTGAATTTTATGCCCTACTAAGGGCTCAGGCTCTGGCCTCAGACAGATCTAAGTTCAAACCCCAGGTCTTTACTTGCCTGGTTTTGGACAATTAATCTAAACTATTCAGGAATCAACTTCTACATCTGAATTTTGGGTTAATAGGAGTCTTTATTTCATAGGATTGTGATAATAAATGAAACACTTCCTGCAAAGCACTTACTGAGGAGTCTGGCACGTAATGTACTAAACCCATTATCTTTATATTATGTTTCTGTTATACAGCTATATAAGCAAATATTTATATTTCATGTTACCATAATCTTTAGTAAATATAAGAAAATTTATTTTGAGGAATGAGCAGCAAATTCCTCTATAGAGAGAAGAAATTTTGTGTCACTTGATGAACTATTTTCTCAATGCCAGAATCTTGGTATTTAGGGCAGAAAATTTCCTGCAAGTGAGCCTTTCACACTCAGGATATGAGTGTGGGCAAAGGGCCAAAGTGTCTGTGATGAATGTTTCTCCAGTTAGGTCTGAGCTCCCTGGTTTCCTGCAGGGCACAGAGACAGAGCTGCATAGTGACTGTTAGTTAATGTTTTCGCGGACTCCAGCTTCTACGGGACAGTGTTGATGGGACTAGATGTTGGGTAAAGTTGGCGACAGTATTTTCTGCACCAGGCATTAAAACATATGGTGTGAAAAAAAAAAAAGGAGGGGGGGTGCGCCTGGCTGGCTCAGTGGATTAAAGCCTCTGCCTTTGGCTCAGGTCATAGTCTCAGGGTCCTGGGATCAAGCCCCACATTGGGCTCTCTGCTCAGCAGGGAGCCTGCTTCCCCCTCTCTCTCTGCCTGCCTCTCTGCCTTCTTGGGATCTCTGTCAAATAAATAAATTTTTTAAAAAGGGGGGGTTGGAGTCATTCCTAAAAATAAGAGGCATTCTGGGGAATGTGGTTTGGACACCAGCATATTGATATGTAGAAACTGTTCTGTGATTTCTGGGGATGGTTGGCAGTCTGCCCTCGATGGAGAGTCTCCTACACCAACACTCTCAGTCTAGGACACCCAGCTGGGGCAGGCTCTTATCAGGATTGCTATGTCCTCCTCTCGGAGAGCTTCATGCTGACCACCTGGTGAAGAGTCCAGAAGGAAAAAGATAGGGATTGTAAGCAAAATCAAAAGGAAAGAAAAGGACATTGGCTGCCAATATCAAATCAAGAATAGAAAACTTGAGCCTGTCCCATTTTGCTCTCAATATGTTTCAAAGGAGAAAGCAGGAAAAGAGACTCGTGTAATGGGATGGTAAGTGCCAAGGTGCTGGACCAGAGTTCGCTCTGCCTATAAATAAGCTCCAGTATGTGCTGCTATGCATGGGGGGTAAGGCTACACGAAAGCAATGTCCACGAACAACACTTCAGCAAACTCAGGGGGTCAACTTGGCGCTGGTTCCTCTTCAGCGTGAATGGTCTAATTATTAAATTAACTGCCACCATTTATTAAGCCTTTATGCTAAGGAGTGTTCAGTACCTTCAATGAACATGGAACAGGTAACCGGCTTCATTGCACAAACAACTGAGAAGTCATTTATCTCGGGTCCCCGGCCAAGGGGAGTAACAGACAGGATTTTTACTTCAAATCTTGATAGGGGGGCTGAGTGCTCAAATGCCTGGATTTCAGCAGTTCGAATAAAACTTTCCGCTATTTGCGTCTGCTCCAGGAAATCTCTGTCCTGTCTCTGTGTGCCCTGGTTTCGTACACCCTCATCATCCCCAGTGTTGGAAGACAAGCAGCCAGTTACTGTGGGATGGGGCCCTTTACCACAAATGATGCTGCCAGCTCTTTGAATGGAAGGGCTGTGCCGCCGCTGACTTATGTGACTGGAAAGGATTCATCTGGACTAAGATCAAGTCTCTGCTGGGAGGCGATGAGCCAGTGGAACCACCAGAGTCTGAACCATGCCTCTGCCATAGTGTGTCCTTCCTTCCATCCAGGGTGAGGCAAGGTGGCCAATTCAGTTTAGGATTCTCACAGTCACTATAAAGCAGCTCCTAACCACCGCCCCCCACCCCACCCCACCACCCCGGCAGCAGTGCTGGTGTGAAAACACAGAGACCTCATTTTAGCCTAAGAACACACACCAGGATTCCATTTAGGGAAGGAAATACAAGTGTTCGGTGCAAGATGGGATCCAAAGACCTGGGAATCAGGTTGCACAGAGGACTTCAGAAAAAAGGACCACTGGCCTCTGTTTTGGACACAGAGAAGAATTCATGGTTCCAAGCATGAAATAATGAACAAGAAAAGAAAGGAATTGGAGAGATAAGAAAGGAAAATGGATTTGGGGCTGTGTCCTATATGGTGACTTGTCAAAAAGGTCTTTGGAAAGGAGAAATCGACCCTTTGTTTGCTCTGTGATGTGCGATGTGACACGCTCTAAGAAGTCATTTGTGCTCATGTGAATTGGGAGTGTGGGTGGGATGTTGATGAGAAACCAATGAAGGGACTGAATTTTAAGTCTGGACGTGTCTAGAGCCCAAGAGGCAGCAGAGGCCACAGAAATCAGTCCCCTAGGCATTTACAGATATATTGAGGAGGGCTGGGGACCACCACAAGCCATGGAATTTTATATGTGGTTTTTGTTTGTTTTTTACTAAGACTTTTTTTTTTTTTAATAGCAGTTTTAGGTTCACAGCAAAATTGAGAGAAAGGTACGGAGATTTGCCGTGTACCATTTGCCCCACCACCACGTGCATATCCTTCTGCATTTTCAAAATCCCCCACCAGAACGGTACACTCGTTACTACTGATGAACCTATACTGAGACCTCTTAATCCCCCCAAATCTACAGTTTCTATTATGGTTGATCCCTGCTCTGTTGTACATTTTGTGGGTTTGGACAAACGTAGAATGACGTGTATCCAATATTATGGCATTATACAGCCTATTTTCACTGTCCTAAAAATCCTCTGTGCATCTTCATCTAATCATCCCTCCCCATCTCCCTGAATTCCTGGCAACCACAGATATTTTTGGTTTCCATAGTTTTACCTTTTTCAGAACGTCCTATAGTTGAAGTCATATAATCTGTAGCCTTTTCAGATTGGCTTCTTTCATTTAGTAATATGCATTAAGGCTCCTCCATGACTTTTCATGGCTTGGTAGTTTATTTCTTTTTAACACTGAATAATACTCCATCATCTAGATGTATTGTGGTTTATCTATCCATTCACCAGCCGACATCTTGGTTACTTCCATGTTTGGGCAATTATGATTAAGTCTTTATAAACATCTGTGTGCAGGTTTTTGTACAGATGTAATTTTTCAGCTCCTTTGGGTAAGTACTAAGGAGCAGGACTACTGGATCCTCTGGTAAGAATGGGTTTAATTTTGTAAGAAATCACCGAACCGTCTTCCAAAGTGCCTGCCACATTTTACACTCCCACCAGCCAGGAAAGATTTCCTGTTGCCCCACATTCTCCCCAGTGATTGCTGTCATCAGTGTTCCAGATTTTGGCCATCCTAACCGGTATGTAATTTGCAATTTCTTGATGGCACAGTATGTACAGCACCTTTTCATATGCTTATTTGCCATCTGGACATCTTCTCTGGTAAGGCATCTGTTAAGGTCTGGCCCATTTTTTAAGAGTTTGTTTGCTTTCTTATTGTTGAGTTTTAAGGGTTCTTTATATTTTAAATAACAGTCCTTTATCAGCTGCATCCTTGGTAAACATTTTCTCTCAGTCTGTGGCTTATTTTTTTCATTCTCGTGTTTTAAGGAGGGACGCATGTTCAAAGCCATCTGTCTAGGTGTCGACGGTCAAGAGCTCTTGCTAAGATCTTGTTTACATTTGTCTTTTCAGACACCTTCAATTAGAAGCTTGGTGGTAAGCGTGGGCTTTCTAGACACTGATGAGGAATTCTGAGAAAGGAGAGTTGGTTTGCCTTAACAAAGGCCACCCAGGAAACTTCATCACACCAATCTGTCTCTAGCTAGGACATGCACAGATAACATCTTCATCTCTTGCAAAGCAATGTGCAAGGAGAATGGCTACTCTCTTGAAGATTCTCAGGAGTACAACCTGTTCACATTCTGGGCTCTCAGTCCCCAAGAAGCCCACTTGCCTTGAGTTTAGAGCTCCATTTTTTGGTGAATTTATTTTATTTTCTGAATTCAGTCAAGAAGAAAAATATACAAACCTATGATATATGATCCTAACTATTTCCAAATACTGATTTAGTTTACAGTTTTTCTTCAAGACATTGCTTTCTCTTTAAAGTACATATTTATTCATTTATTCAGGTCTCTGGACAGGTGATTGCCAAGGCCAAGGCCTCTGCAGGGAAGAACATTACTGTTAGTGGAAGAAAAATCCCAGGAGTTTTGGATATACTTGTTAGGTATACAGACTGAGTTTTCTAAATGAAAGATTGCAATGTCACGCCAATAAACTAGCAATAGAAAAGCACCTTCATGTCTGTAATTGGAGAATGGTAAAGTGGAAGGATTTGGATGCAATCATAATATGAATCAGTCAGTTGTTGCAGAAGGAGATGAAGAGAAAGTCCACATTTTTTTATTAAAACCACCTAACAAAAATCTCACTCAGTTCCTATTCACGGGACCTGGTTCTAGCCCCTAATTTATTTTTATTACATTTGGTGGAAGGGAAACTCACTTCAACAATGACAGTTCAGCTAGGACAGCTGAGGCTTACAGTTTGCATGTAAACGCCGGGCTGAACAGTTGAGCAAATCCATCACTATGGAGGCCCAGCAGAAGCAGTCCTGAGACAGACAGGGAGAGCGGAATCACCGTAGCCCACCCTGCTGAGCCAAAGCAAAAGTGTCAGATACTGCCTTGTAAGTGGAACTGTAGGTGGGGCGGGGGAACTCTTTGGAGTCAAGACTGGGTCAGCCATCAGGTTCCATCTCATGTTTCCATTTCTCCAGCCCCATCTCCTCTCACCTCCATGTACTCACCCAAAACGTCTCAACGGCACTATAGCTTTCTTAATGCTATAGAGCAGCTAGAATTTTCTGCAAGGAGCCTGTTTTCATTTTGCACTTCCACCAGGGCTTCTCTCCCCATCATTCTGCATCAATTGGTCAAGACACCTTTTGAGACCACAAACCAGGTACACTGTGAATTCAGATCACACTGCAGCACCCAGGAGCTCCGGAACAAAAGCCGGCAGCCTCCTGTCTGTTTCAATCCTACCTGTTTTCCAAGGTACACTTGTGGTAGACTCCCTGAATGCATCAACCTCATAGAAATTGTGCCTCTCTCGTTTCTCTGAGAATAAATAATGGAACCTTTCTTCGGGTGTATCTTAAAGTGTCTTGTATTATTTTTATCATTTTATGTGTGTACATATTTGTCCTGTTGGGATATAGATCTGTCCATATCTGCTTAATTAAATTATAACCTCCCTAATGCCACCAGTCCTCATCTTAAGAACAATTGGCATTTATAATGCTCTACAGTTCCAAGGCCACATCTCATTGGTTTCCCTCCCCTCAAAATTCCATCAGTCAATGTATTATCTTTATTCCTATGAAAAGTTCAAATAAGTCTATTGGAGAAAAGCAAAATATAAGACATTAAATCATAATGTGTCCATGGAGAAGCTCAGACATGGGCTTGTAAATCTTCCTGTGCATCCAAAATGAAAGAACATTCAATCTGTTTCACTCCAAAAGCTCTTGTTCACTTCAATATTGTTCACAGAGAAAGGCCTGTGGGGTTTCCCGATCTTGGCTTTTGCAATATCATATTTCTCAGGCTCCATGTAAAAATGTCACTGAGTTGCTTCAAACTTACTTTTATGGGGCAGAGACTGGAAAATCAGCAAAAGGGTTTAGTTGGGCTGAATAGCCCAGCAGCCCTCCCTCTTGAAAAGACCAAATAAAAAATCCTAGTTTCAGAATCTTCAGAACTTTGTTCTAGGAGTTCTTTGCAAAGAAGTCGTATTTTATAAAGCTTAAGAACACCACAATTGCCCTGGTCTACCTGGGGACGAAAGGCTTTGCCAAACTATCAGAATAACTTTAAAATCTTGTTTTTAAGTAGAGCTTGTTGGGTCTACATTGGGAATATTTTGTACTGGGGGGACAAAGATGACATCTGCCTATGCTCAGGCTTGTTCTGATCTAATGTACTGTTGATGTCCCCCCCACCCCATGAATGAGGGTGGGAAGACACCCCATGTCACCCCATGACTTACCATCATTAACTATGCAGATGACTGATTTTAGCTCAGATACCATATTAACAATCTGTCCACAAGTGAAAAAAGCCCTAGGTTTTTCGTTTAATTCCAAACTTGGGGAAAATGCATTTAGTAAATTTACTTCTGCCACATCACTGAAATTTCTCCTGAAAGGCACAGCTTTCTTCAGCATTTGGATAGAAGCTATTTCAAGCCCTAGGAGAGTCAAATTCTTGGAGGAAAAAGAAAGACACACTGTGCAGTGGAGTGGAGAAGGGAGAGAGCCAAGAGTCCTGTGGAATACTTGTCCATAACGACAAAGGCAAAGAAGGAGGGCCAGACACAGATGTAATTATTTCAGCCCAGTTCCTGCAGAAACTCTGTGCTCACTGACCTTTACCCATACCCCCAATCCATACCATTTACCACCCACATCATATTCATCCAACCACCTGGCAAATTCCATAGGATCAGCCTTGAGCAGATCTTCAAGAAGAAGGATAGCGATCATCATAATTCTTTGAGTATTTAGTAGCATCAGGAACTCCACCAAGCACTTCACACAAGTTATTTTATTTACAACTGTGGTAGATACTACAATGTACCATCCAGATGCCCCTCCTTCAGGCCTGAGATGCTCATGGCCCCAGCTGCTGGGGCTTGGTGCTGGTGACTGATAGGTTCTCCAGTAATTGATCTTGGCCAAAGTGAGCTGGCTTATCAAGGTCACGTTCCCTCCCCATGACCACCCTTATCTGATGAATGCTTTATGTAGGGATACAAAAGTCAGTCTTCTTGCCTCAAAGAATGACCTCTCTGAAAGGACAACTCATTTTCAGAGATGCTTCTAGAATCATCTAAGTACTCCATTATAATTGCGTTATACATTTCAACTTCTTGGTCTGTCCAATCTTGCTTCCCTCACCTCCCCCACATGTTGCTTCTGAAGGTATTCCCCAATAATGCTTGCATGCAAATCTGAGATTTCTAACATCTATATGCTGGGTTACTCAACCTACAACAGTTAAAACCAAAAGTGATCCAAGGAAGCAGATTCTAAAATGAAATGTTGGCACTGGATCACTAGCAGCAGGGTAGCAGTGAGACCCCCTCACTGGTGGTGGGTGGAACAAGGAAAGACTTAAAGATCAGCATGTGCGATGACCCTACAGTCTCAGAAGTCATAAAGTGCTAAGAGCTCCCAGAGGCAGAGAGAAGGAAACTTCCCAGGAAAGAGGTCTCTGAGTTAGGCTCCCCGACACTAATGTGAATTCTCAGAGCCTGAAGAGGATGAGACAAAGAGGGACTGTACAGTAGTGAAGGGCTTCTTCCTTTCCTCTTTCTTGCAGAAGCTACTTTCAGAATATCCATTCTGTAGTTAAACTGAATATACCAGTGGCCTGGCTTCCATATTAAATAAATAAACAAACAAATAGATAAATAAAACTATACTCATAAGACCTAATGCATGCCAGATATTATACTAAACACTTTACAAATTAAACTCATTCACCTGAGTCCAGTCCTCTAAAGGATAGAGGATTATATTTCACGTTTTAAGGTTGTAAAAACTAGAGCACAGAAAAACTAAGTGACTTGCATAAAGTCACACAGCTCACTAAGTGGCAGAGAAGGATGCACCTAGGCAGACTGGCTCCACACTTTTATACAGGGCATCACGACCTCCATTAAGCCTTCAAAGTTTCTAGTAGTCTAGCTAACCCCAGAAAGCCACCCACATGGCTTTGAAATGAGGTCTGGCACTAGTAATAAGAAATATTTGTCAGCACCATCTTCGTGACCACATTCTGTGCCCTGTAGATACTGTCCTGTGCCCTGTAGATATGGTTCCACAACTGCCCTGCAGAGTAGCTCCTGTTTGTATCCACGTTTGATAAGAGGAAGGGACTGAGGGGGGAAAAGATTAAGTTTCTTGTTCAAGGTCACACCACCAGCTGGGGGCAGAGATGGCCTTGGCAACTATGTCCTTCTTTCCTCAAAGCTCAAGGTGTTAACTACTTCCCTGTACTGTTTGAGATGTAAGTGTTGAGAAGAGTATGAGCCTGGGAAATAGGTGTTGATACTTCTAGTACAGTTCTCCCATCCTATTTTAAAATAAAAGCTATTTGGACCAAGGTCAGTGACACTGGGGCCCACATTTGAGTCAGGCAGTACCCTTCCTGTAGATAACTTTCTGGATGGACTGTGGGAATAATAGACAAGCTAGAAAGCATGGCTTCTCATTCTTGGCTCTCTTCACCAGACACGGGGATCGAAAGAATACATTAAATATTAGCTTCATTTAAATGATGGCTTGAGTTCTGGTTTATTTATCTTTCTGTTTAAAAGTCATTCCCTGAAGCTTATGTTCATGATTCTCAGTGATTGGCTGGAAGGTAATAGCTGTTTTCCTTCTTACCACAAACCTAAACACAGTTTTGCAATGCCTTAGATCTTTAAAAAAAAAAAAAAAAAACTATAATAAAAAGTTATCTTTCTCCAAATAAGTTCAAAAATGGCACCATGACATGGGCTGCTGTGTAAGAAATCTGTCTTTAAGAATGACATATCGGGGGGGCGCCTGGGTGGCTCAGTGGGTTAAGCTGCTGCCTTCGGCTCGGGTCATGATCTCAGGGTCCTGGGATCGAGTCCCAAGTCGGGCTCTCTGCTCAGCAGGGAGCCTGCTTCCCTCTCTCTCTCTCTGCCTGCCTCTCCGTCTACTTGCGATCTCTCTCTGTCAAATAAATAAATAAAATCTTTAAAAAAAAGACACCGGTTTATCATGTGTTACAATGAGCAGATGTTCAGCTTGTGGGAGAATGTGTGTGTTTTAATTTCTCCATTTGTGTCACTTCCCTGTCCCCATTATCCATCTGGTCCCTTTCTCTGAATCCCCTAGAAGCCATGGGGCACCTTTTGGGATACAGTCAGGATCATTAGATTGATAACTTTTCAAGGTAAAAGACAATTTTCTTTCATTATACAATTTAAATGATTTTTTTTTTCCTAGCATTTTGGCCAGATAAAAGGCAAAACAGTGGAATGAGGAATAGGTTGTTCTCCACAGGGGTCTGGGTGTCCCATTGGCTGGGCCGCTGGTCTTGCCCACAGCTTTATCGCGTCAGAGGGGAGATGAGGGCGTGTCAGACTTGTGTTTCGAAAACAAACAACGTGTGGCACCTGTGTCGCTCAGTTGGCTAAAAAAGCATCTGACTCTTGTTTTCAGCTCAGGTCATGATCTCAGGGTTGTGAGAGTGAGCCCCACTTTGGGTGTAGAACCTGCTTAAGATTCTCTCTACCCATGCCCCTAGGCCTGCATATACACTCTCTCTCGAAAAAACAAAAAAAAAGTTTATTACAAAATGTCTCCATCTTATTTAATGAAGACAGATTAATATGGCTTCAAATCTTATATTGGACAATATTTTTATCTTAAAATTTTTAAGAATGTCAATATTTTAATATCACAGAATACACACTTATAACCTGTATCTTTTTAAAATTAAGTCAGCCAGCTGGTTTTATGGTTTCACTAGCCTGGTTACTAAATATTAACATTTAAGACTCTTACTCTGTCATTGATGAACTATGAAAAATGAAGTCTAAATGTTGAAATCATATGGGCATTATTTAAATGGTTGAAATGTCTTCTCCTCAGGAAAAGTGATGAAAAATGAAATAATCGGTATGGGACTTTAGATCGGAGAGTGTTCTGTAAAGGCGTAATCCTGAGTGGGAACACATTTTCTATATTTACCAGCAAGTTGAAAACAAATTGGAATCATCTGTGAGATGGGGCCTACTGAAGCTTCCTTACACAGAAATTCAGCCAAGGGATTCAAACCAACGTATATTCACCATGTTCCGTGAACATGTGTTCCTAAGAACCCCTCTCCCACCCTCTCCCAGATAAAAAGATAAAACAAAACAAAACCTGCCCAAAAGCTGATGTTGGAGAACAATTCTAATTAAAGGATAAAGATACCTCTTATTTACTGAGGAACTATTTTTTTTAGAGGTCCTTAAAATGTATTATTTTTAATCCGCACAATAACCCTATAAAGCAGCAGCTTTGAGTCCCATTCTGTGAAAAGTAAAGCCCAGAGAGATTCAGTAACTTGCCTCACATCACTGCAAGTGACAGATTCAAACACAGAGCGGCTTAATTCCACACCCCCGATGCTAATTACCGTATGCTACTACACACACACACACACACACACACACACACACACTCACACACACAACACCAGGAAACTAATAGTATTCTTCCGCCCAAAAGCTCCGGGGCCACGGAGAAAGAAATACGAGCTCCAAATAAAGGCAAATCCTGGATCCTATATGTGCACTTTCACAAAGCACCATTTGAGACAATAAATTTTGACAATTTTGAGAAAATAAACGTCCAATAGCAATGCATGAAAACTACTGTGTTATAAGCTTATTGCGGCCGGCAGAAAACTTATTCAGAAACAAACTGGATAAATTCGGTTCCGACAGGTTCAGGTCATTCAACTTATTTGACTATAGAATACGCATTTGCTTGTTAATGTTGAGGATAAACATTACATTTTCCTTAGTATCCACAGTCCGTATTTTCCATTCAGTTTCAGGCTTGAGCAGGTTGGGGAAGGGAGGGACTTCGTTTGGTTTAAAATGGAATCTTGTAAGAGTAAACGTGACTGTGGAGGTAAACAACAGGGAGCACAATGCCCAGCAAATAGTGTGAACTTAATAAGTATTTGATGAAACGTGATTGAATGACAAATGCAGTATATTGACCTATTGCTGTATGGTATGTGAAACACTTTAAAGGTCCTAGAAGTTCATTGGGCAGGCAAAATTTCAGTATCTTGCAATTTTATTTAAAAACAAATATGATCTATGGTACGAAGACATTCCCACATTTTGCTCCATTTTAAAATTTGTGCTTACCTCCCCCGCAAAAATTACCAAGAAGTCCTTCAAGAAAAGCCATGATTATCTATTCATTAGGAGGATTTGAAGTAACATGTCCCTCCTTTCCAGTCACTTTTCATAATATTCATTTTACAAAATTATTTGGCAAAAGAATCCTCCCTCTAACCCTGTGTTCCAGAATTGGATGGATTGTCTAAAGATTTCCATGTGGACAATAATTTTTTTTTTTAAAGATTTTATTTATTTATTTGACAGACAGAAATCACAAGCAGGCAGAGAGGCAGGCAGAGAGGCAGGCAGAGAGAGAGGAAGGGAAGCAGGCTCCCTGCCAGCAGAGAGCCCGATGCGGGGCTCGATCCCAGGACCCTGAGATCATGACCTGAGCCGAAGGCAACGGCTTAACCCACTGAGCCACCCAGGAGCCCCTGTGGACAATAATCTTAAACTGAATGTAAGACTGTAGTTTTAGTAATACTAATTAAAAAAAAAAATTTCGGAAATGGTCTTATGTTAGTAATAACTGTTTAGTGGTTTGCATAAAATAAAATCTGTTTTGTTTTGAAACAAGAAGTACACAGAATAAAATAAGGTTAAGATTAATTTTAAAGTAAGACTGCTGCTGCCTAGTTAGAAAATAACAGAAGAAAACATTTGGCTCATTTTTTAATAAGCTATTAATTTACTTTTGGAGGATTTTTTTTTTTTTTTTTTTTAACCAACTTGTTAACATTTGACGGAGAAGGGAGAAATCAAAGCTGACTCTTCTAGCTCGCAGCCAGGTCAAAGAAGGAAACTGATTTACCATAGAATACATTGTTTGCAATGTTACTTATAATCCAAATAAATAATTTTCATTTTATGACTTTTTAAAAATATGTGGAAAAGATATCAGGTAACGTTCTTTCCTTTTCTTTTACAGCTGTCAAATCATGAGTTCTTGTGGATTCCTTAAAGAAGTTGCATTCTATTCCAATAGCTTCATATTTTATAATGATGTTTGAACCTGGCCTTTCGCCTTAAAGTGTGAATTTGTGTTCTGTTATTTCTCTTGTGGTCATGCTGTCTGAGTATAACGTCTTGAGTTCTCATTTCAGCTCTAATTCACCAGGAAACCTGGTGATAGCGCCATCATTTGAGACTTAAATTCTTACTCTTGAAAATGAAGGCACAGGATTAGACGACAGGAAAGTCCCTTACAGCTCTGTCTAGAATCAAGTCAAACACAATTAGCCCTAAATCAGTTACAGGATAAAATATCACCAGCTCAGTGTAAATTTTAAAATGCCTTCTGTTCCCTAGCTGCTGGAAAATTGTCCTGAATGTATAAATGTTGATTGTGAATGCGAATGGCGCCCTCTAGAGTTTGTCAGTGCACAACAGCTGCAACCAGCTGTGGCAGCTCGTGCTAAATCTTGCTTAAGATTCAAGAGACCAACACCCATACCACTTATTTGAACAAAAAAAATGAATAACTTCCTAATTAGGGAAAACATTGAAGGTAACTAGAAAGCCAAAAAGAGACTAGCATCACAGAAGCAGCAGTTGTAGAAGAACCACTACCCCTAGGGATGGGGAATAAAAGGAAAAAAGTTGCAATAATACTTAGAAGCTGGAGGAGTGGCCCCTTGCAGTTGAAATTCAGACCTCCAAGGGGCACACTGTCTGGAAGATGCTATGATCTCTGAGGAACATAGCATGAGGTGGTTTCTGATCGTTAGAAAAGCTGCAGACTGGATCGGCTGCCACTACAGAAGGAAGCAGGAAGCCATGGAAAATGGGAAGAGAAAGTCTCCTCCTCCTCCAGCCTTTCAGTGACCCTCTAGAGTATCAGTAACCCAATTTGAAAAGCACAGGATTTGCAGAATCCCAACCCAAGCATCACAAAAAAGAATAGAGATGGCTATGTATAGAACCGTGAAGATAATAGAGAGCACACCAGGTTTGCCCTTAAGCGGAGAGGACAAATAGATTCCACCTGCACGCCAATTCGAACAACGGCAGCATACTGTGTTGAGAAGGAATCTGAGGTTGTCGTGAAGCAGCAGAAAGGGGTCCTGTGATCATTTAGAGTATCTGCCCTGGGCAGGAGGAGACATGGCGTCATAGAGTTGCCATTTCTGGCTAAGAGCCACTTAACGGTCCCATCTATCTACCCTTTGGGTATCAGGTTTTGGAGACAGAGACCTGAACTTCTCAGCAGCAGAGAGAGTGCGATAGGGAATAAATAGCTCAAAGATCCTAATAGAGTTAAAAGTTTCTTGACTATGAGCAACACTAGGGACAGAGAGCTCATCATCTGCGTCTTCATCAAGTTCCAATCCCAGGAACTCTCTTCTTTATTAAAAAAAAAAAAAAAAACTTAGATCAACCTCAGTAGCTCTCATCCACTGGCCCTATTTCTGCCCCTTTCAAAAAGATGGAGATAAGTCAAATTCTCTCTCCACAGGCCGTCCTTTCAGATATTTGAATCTGGTCGTCATACCCCACCCCCACCCCACCCCACCCCCGAACTTTCTTCTCCAGGTGAAGCGGTTTTTGTTTTGTTTTGTCTTGTTTTAAAGAGAGTGAGAGAGAGAGGAGAAGCAGCAGAGGGAGAAGCAGACTCCCCACTGAGCAGGGAGCAGGGATCCCAACACCCCCAGGATCACAGCCTGAGCCGAAGGCAGATGCCTGACGGAGCTGCGCAGGCGCGCCAGGGAGTCTTACTGCCTCCAACTGCTCCTTCTATAGATGGCACAGAGATACCTTGTCCTGCCTTCTGAGCAAACTTTGACACATCTCAGCCTCCCACCAAGGATGGCCTGAAATCAATACTCTCCAATAATGAGAAGAGCACCAAGGCACAACGTAGAGAACGCACGGAACCCTTTTAAAGATCTCGTCATTTCTGATGACATCACCCTGAACACTGCCTGGAAACTTAACTTTCACCTGGGATGATCCTCGGGCGTTTCAACTCCAGGATAAACAAGTTCCAGCCGCTTCAGACTCTCCCAAAGGAAAATATCTTGCAGCCAATACAAACCACCAGGAAGTTCCCTTGGAAGAGAAGTCAAACAGCTTTGTGAATGCTTAAATAAGTTAGAAAATTAAGCTCTTGCTGATGGCGTCTGTCATAAATATACGCTCCAATGAAAAGAAGCTTAAATCAATTTGGGTGTTCTCCGTGAGCTGCAAACCTTGTTATTGTTCCTCCCGCACAGTCTCGATGCCATAAACCATATCTAAGTGTGCAGAAGACATTTACTTGCACGGGTGTTTTCGAGTAGATGAGATTTTGTAAGTGGCTCTGTTCTACCTTTTAACTATATTTTAATTTAAATATATTTTTAATCATAGCTTTAGAAATTACCTTCACTAAGCAACCCAAGTTTAAATGTAACAGCATATTTTTAAAATACATGCAAAAATCTCTTAGTCAGGGTCTTTCAATATTCCACATGCATTATTTTAGGTTCATTTAGCTGCACTATAATTTTATGGGGTTTTAGAGTGGCGGGGCATATGATGTGATTGCCAATTATCCAGGCCGTATTTCCAGGCACATTATCAGAAGAATCTATGAAATGGGGGTTTAACAAGAATAGAACTCTGCAAAAAATCACGTGATGAACTTTCCATAGATACAGTCTTTGAAGGATAAGGGAATAGAAGTAAATGTAACTAACAACTAGGAAGGCGGGATGTAATATGCAGAAGAAGAGGAGAAATTCTGACTTACACATAGCACACTGAGGAACGGATAATCTGCTGAAATTAAATACTAACCTTCATATTATTATATTCAAGGCAAATCCTCACTTCCAGTGACTTCATTTTAAAGGACTAGGGGGTGTACCACTACAGAGGTAATTATTCTCGGTACAAAAGATTAAAATGAAGGGTCAGATACATACTATTCCAAAGCAAAAAACAGATGGCTCTAAAGGTTGTGTGATTCGTTTTCCATTGCTACTGTAACAGCTTAGCACTGACTCAGTGGCTTAAACAGTACACATTTATTATCTTTACAGTTCTGTAAGTCAGAATTCTGATAGAGATCTCAGATCTAAAATCAGTGTGTTCGCAGGAATTCGTTCCCTTTTGGAGGTTCTAGGGGAGGAACCATTTCCTTGCCTTTTCCAGCTTTGGTTAGCTGTCTGCTCCGCGGGCTCCCAGCTCCTTTCTCCATCTTCAAAGCCAGAAACATTGCATCTCCACCTGATTCAGCTGGGAAAGGTTCTCCACCTGTAAGGACTCAATGTAATTATATTGGGGCCACCTGGATGTTCCAGGATACTCTCCCCACCTCAAGGTTCTTAACTTAATCACATCTGAAAAATCCCTTTTTGCCATGTAAGGTAGCATAGAGATTAGGGGATGGTCAGTTTAGGTGGCCATTATTCTGCCTACTACACTGTGTAAAACCACCATGAGACAACACTCCAGAAAATAAACCGCTCACAGGGGACTTCCTTAAACGAAGATCAGTTCTTTCCCTCCCATGCACCTCTTCAGGACAAAATTCACAACTTACCATGTCTCCCTCAAAAAGACAAGAGGGCAATGGGCCATAGGAACTGATCAGACAGGCAGCTGAGTCTGGTCAGACAGAGAGGACAGGACAGGGACTCTTCCAAATACTTCACATATATTTGTTGGGTCCCCCAAAATTGGGTACCCCAATAATGGGTCTGTGATTAAAGGAGCGAGACTGATAAAAAGCGAAGGTCAAGCAAAGCTTTATTTTACGCCAAGCATCAGGAATCAGACCGACTGTCAAACAGACCGATCGGAGCCACCCCTACAGAGAGGACGACCCCTCCCTGCTTCCCAGACTAACTTTTATAGAGCCAAGGCCATGTGGTTGGGCCTGGCCCCACACAGGTGGCCAATGACATTGTAACACACACAGAAAACTCCACAGTGATGCTAGGCAACCAATTGAATTACAATTTACCCTAGTAGACATTTGAACCCGCCTATCACCTAGTTCAGAATTGGCACCCAAAAGGTGCCCAAAGGGTGGGGCCCATACTCCTTGGTAGCTAGGAGACAGTATGCGCCCCCCCGCTGATTGAATACCTCCACCTGGCCTGACCCACCCTTGTACCTGGACTTTGTTACCTGGGACTGGTTTCCCGGACTTGCTTTTAAATAAGTTCCCCTGGGGGTGGGGGGGGGCAAGGTCAATTTAAGTTTTATAACAAAATGGCAGTTCAACCGGGGTGGGGCTGCTCTGGCTGGATAGGCCCTTACATATAAATTTACGTAGTCCTCACAGCAAGTCTATACGGTAGGAATCTTTTTATCGACGTGTTTTCCTAATGACAAAACTAAGGCACAGGTAACTTGTACAAAGCTGCACAGTTGGTGAGAAAAAGCCCTGACCCAGAATCTGAACTTTAACCACCAGAAAACACAACTTTCTCTTTGTTGACCAATTAAGGTGTGGGTTGCAGGCAATTTGTGACTAACAATACTTTAAAAAAAAAAAAAAAGTCGATTTACATTTGAATCAACTATCTCTAAGACAAGACTCCGCTGTTATATTCTGATGCAGATTTCTGATTATTACACAGATGTTGAAGAAGGAACAAGCATTTAACTAGTCAATCTAAATCATGGTTCTCACACTTCAAGGGGTGTAAGACTCACCTGGGGTAGTTTGTTAAAATGCAGATTACTCCGGGGGTGGGGGGCGCCTGGGTGCTCAGTGGGTTGAGCCTCTGCCTTTGGCTCAGGTCATGATCTCCGGGTCCTGGGATGAGCCCTGCATCCGACTCTCTGCTCAGCAGGGAACCTGCTTCCTTCCTGTCCTCTCTCTGCCTGCCTCTGCCTACTTGAGATCTCTGTCTGTCAAATAAATAAATAAAATCTTTAAAAAAAAAAAAAAAGAATGCAGATTACTCTGCCCTAACCACAGAGGTTCATTTGGATCTTGGAATCTGTATTTTAACATTCCAAGTGTGTCTGATACAGGCTTCCCTGAACACATTATATGCAAAGTAGGGTGTTTGGGAAAACTATTGGATGACCTCCCTGAGGCACCCCATCCGAGTCCTGCAAACAATCTCATGCTTAGCCCATCCAAGTACTTAGCATACTATTTGACTAATGCCTATTGATTTATTTGTCTTCCCCCATAGACTGCAAGGTCTATAAGGTCAAGAACTCCCTCTCTCAGGGTCTTCTCTCTCTTGTTTACCCCACATTCCACAGATGTAGGTGTCCAGGATTTGTTGTTGAATACCTGGATGGATAAACAAGTCAAAGATGAAGTAGTCTCAGATCATGCAAAAACATTTTCAAATGAATGAGTTTAGAGTGCCAAATGCCTCATTTAGTTGAATATCTATATACAGTATGAAAAAAAAATTCTTTAAATGAAGAACACCATAAGGTAAGTTCACCATTGAAGGACAGAACAGAAGCATACGAGCAGACACTCTCAGCAGTAGAAATAGGCAACAATCTCAGCATCGGTAAGTGATGACATCTACTAGCAAGACAGTCGGCAACCTGGAGGCAGACTGTGCCCTGTGTGTCCTCTTTTTGCCATACTGTACTGATTCCAAATTATTTTGCATTTTGAGTTGCATTTCGCATTTGGATAGTTCACAAGTAAATCAATAAATGAAGAAAAATGTTGTGATATCTCAAAGCAATTGTCTCGTGGAAGAACGCATCTGAGCCACCCAAAGTAACTGCATCATATGTAGGGTGACTGAAGATCTCAAGATAATTTGTGCAGAGTATCTAGCACAGAACAAGGCACAGAGCAAGTACTCAATAAATATTTGTTGAATAATCAAATTTTAGAAAGCATTGATAAGCAAAGATCTGTCTCAACATGACTCCGTTTCTGACATAACAAACGAAGGGGACCCATGCTTATCACTGTAAAAAGACTCATTGCATGCTTTCCCTTAGCCACTCCTCCACTAAGTTTTAGAAATTTTTTCTTCTAGGATATTTTTCCTCTTATTAAAAAAAATGATTTACTGCTGTTTATGTCTGCAAAGAAATTTCATCACACAGTTTTGGGAGTAATCTGTGACTTTGAGGACAGACTGCAACTCATAAATTTTGACCTGAGTTTCTTCCTGAGACCAAGACCCAAAAGAGTGACCGCCAAAGGTGTGGTGCATTTCGGTGAAAAATTTCACGGAACTTGTTCCCACAGTTAGAGTACGGCCAGGTAATTTCCTGATGTAAATTAGCATTTATAGCCGTTCTCCGTAAGACTGCTAAGGGAATAATCAAATGTTCTTGTGTCAGTACATAAAACAAATGCCTGGAGGATCAGAAAGCAATCTCCTCTCCCCTGGTACGTTATTATGTAATTTCTTGGTTTCCTCCATTACTGGAGTGTGGGGATGTTGTTAATTTTAAGGCCAAAACTGCAGGACTGGATAAGGCAGCTTTCAACTCCAAACTAGGTGTCCTCAAGAGCTCAGCAAAACCCACAGGTCTCTCTCCAGCGTTGGCCGCAGAACCTGTGGGTGCTAGTCATCAGGAGACTTTCGATAGAATTCATTCTCGTGATTTCCAAACTTCTTTTTAGCAATTGACTTCTTAAAATTAACCATGGGCAGATTCTTCTGTTTCTAAAACAGACAAATGACAAGCACTGTGGTTGATGGTCTGAACTCTCATTGTGGCCCCTCTGGCTACTTTAAATATGTAAAATTAAGAAGTCGCTTGCCTTCTCTAAGTCTTAGTTTTTTATTTTCTTAATCTCAGAAGAATAATGGTGCTTGCCTTACCTACCTTATTACTGCTTTAGGATCAGACAAATTAACATTTGAGAGTATTCTGTAAATAATAATATAAGGTAATATTAATACATGAAAATGTAAGTGCAAGGTAGACTAGAACATGATAAAATAACAAATGGGTGGTGTAAATTATAGTTATGAAGAAGGAGGATTCAGATGCAGTATCTGGGATTGACATCATCACCAGTAGTGAGTGCTGACTCGCTTCAGAATTGTGCAGAATGTCATTCATATGCCTCCTCATTTATGACTCAGATTAGTCAATGATGAGCACCACTA